AGGGGTGAGGGTTTGGGCTTGCGGGTAGGGTGGGGATGGGGGGTACTGCCCTGCGGCAGTGGGTTGGGGATACGGCAGTGGGGGGTGGGTAGGGTTGCGGGTTTGGGGAGGGTGAGGGGTAGGGGTGGTGACTGGTGAGTGGTGGTGGTGTAATATGCGTGGGGAGGGGGGGTACGGGTAGGGTGTAGGGCGAGGGCCTAAGAGGCCGGGGTTAGGGTTCGGGTGAGGTGAGTTCCAGGTGGCATTGCCGTCACGGGTTTGTCGTTGCCTAGAGCCGTTTTGGCGTCCACGTCTGCGACCCCGATTTCCGCCGCCACGTCCTTGCCCTCGTCCAAAGCCTCCGCGCTGTCCCGGGTTGCCATCACCGTAGCTGCTGCCGCCGTGCTGTCCGCCATAGCCGCTGCCGCCGTGTGTCCCGCCGTGGGGTTGACCACCGGCTCGGGCAGTGAGTAGGGCTGTGCTGCCGGGGTCAACGTGATTGGACCGTTGGCGATCCAAGAGCATGAGAGCCGATCGAACTTGAAGAAAATTTGGCATCGGATCCTGAAACTGCATGAACGAGGTCTGAGCCTGAAGATCTGCGTGAAGCCCTTGGAGCATCTGGAGGACCAGTTGGTGTTGAGAGACTGGTGCATCGACGTCATCCAACCAGTCTGCAAGGTTTTGGAGTTGCTGGCAATAGGCCGCCATGGAGGTAGAGCCCTTGACGGTGGTGCGGAATTCATGTTCTAACTGCATGGCCCGGGCGTGTTTATTGTCGTGAAATAGGTCGTAGATGACCTTCCAGAGAGCTGAAGTAGTGGTGAGAGAAGAGATGACCAGATTAGAGACTTTATCGGTGATGGTGGAGAGAATCCAACCCTGGAGAAGAGCATCGAGTTGGCACCATTCGTCGTCGTCTTCGGAGAGGGGGACGACAGATCCATCGAGGTATCCCTGGAGATTAAATCGTCGAACTAGAAGGAGAAACAGACGACTCCCTTTTTTGTAGTTTGGTTGGGAGAGGCTTAGTTGAACGGGAACATGCAACTTCACATTAGAAATAGTTGTGAGAGCAAGATGAGGGGGTTTGGAGGATGTATTTTGGGAGGTGACCTCACTATTTTCAGCCATGGTGAGAGAGAAGGAGAGAGAGCCGCCGGGAGAGGGGTGTCGTCGCCGGGAAAAGGGGCTGCCGCTGGGGAGGCGGGGCCGGCCGAACGAGAGAAAGACATGAGGAGATTAGGGTTTAGGGTTTTTTAGGCTCCGATACCATGTAGAAAGAATGTTTTCATTGAATAATTGTGTAGAGAATACATCAATATATACTAGAGGCTTCAATCCTAATCATAGTAGGAGAGCCACATTAGGAAACCTATACAAGTATGGTAACACTATAATTACAAGAATAATAATATAATTAATATACTTAGCAATATATACTGATATAAAACAAGAAGAGGTAGTGTCGTAGTGAGTTAGCATGCATCCAGTGTAGTACCTTTTCGGGATCGCCGCCCTTGTCAGGGTGGTTCTTGATGGCGGCTTTGCGGTAAGCTTTCTTGATATCATATACACTGGCGTTCTTGGGAACACCCAGAGTCTCATAGTACAACATGTTGTCACTCTTCTTCGCTCCTCTCCCAAACATTCTCTTTTTTATAAAGCTAATTTCTTCTTCTTTTTCCTCAAGAGCACACGCCCAGTGACGGTGACAGGCGGTTTTATAACGCAAATGGGAATTGATTTTAAGGAATATATAACTCTCCTTAAAGATCTTAGTCAATCATAAGACTATTGCACTATCATACTCCAAACTATTATACTCTACCGCCACACTGTCACCTCTGCCACCATACTACCACCACCGCCACTGCTACACTGCTAACTCTGCCACTGCACTGCCACCGCCACCTCCGCCACACCACCAACTTCGCCACCATAGTGCTACCATCACCGCCTAAAAATCGCACTCTGATTGATTGTAAGTGGGTGCATCACATTAAACGAAACGCTAATAGATTTGTTTTAAAGTATAAGGCTCGTGTTGTGACCAAAGGTGTAAAAGATAAAGATTACAACGGAAAAAAATCCAAACTTATAACACGTTCGAAATTTACAACAAAAAAGTACAAGAAATCGCCGGTGATCGGAAAACGAACAGAGAAGGAAGGTATGCAGAGTCGCGAGAGCTTTCCTTGAGGTAGTATCGCCCGCCTCCCGCACTGGCAACAACGTGGACGATCTCCTCCCAAGATAAAACTGCTAACGAGCAAAGTCTAGAGTGGTAGAACAATGCACCGACGAACTGGAACGAAGTAGAGTTATTCGCCAGAAGAAAACGATCAAAAAATAGAGAGAGAGAGAGAGAGAGTTGGAATGCAGAGAGCTTTTTCGAGTTCGAGTTGGTGGTCATCTCTACAGCAAAAACCTCCTTATATAGGAGTGGATTTGGGTGTTAGGACGGACAACACGAGGAGTCAAGTGACTCTTCGTAAGTGCATGCATGCATATCTTCTACTTCGTTCTTAACAAAGTGTTTACACGCGTTCGATTCGGTCTCGTAAAAAGATAAGGTTTGTCCTACACCCTCACCACGTCACGATGCGTCACATGCACACGCGTTCACATGTCATGCCGAGCTGGACGACGGCGACAGTGCACGAGGGCTCCCTTTGTTCTTCCTTAATAAATTGCTTTATAATGCTATTAGAGACTAGCATATAAATAGAGGAAGTAGAAGAGCCTATGAATTCAATGTGGGACACAAGAATTCACCCCTACCCAGTATTCGATTTCGAGAATTAATTTCTCATTCACCCGAGCACCAATTTTGGCGCCCAATATGTCGAAATACCCGTTCACTTAGAATAATATTTGTCCATAATTATTTTGGAAAAAATAATTTTGTAGAACCTACTGAATTTTCGTCCAAAGTTGTCTCGTTATGAGTAAAAATTCCAACAAAAGGTTATCATCAGAATTATGACATTGATTACAAAGAGACATTCAGCCTCGTTGTCAGACAGCAAACGATATGCCTTGTTCTCTCTTTGGCTCTTCATCATGATTGGCTTCTTCATCAGATGGATGTTAGTAACAGCAAACGATACGCCTTTTTTTGCATGGTCTTGGTTTCCGATGTTGTACTCATGACAGTTGTTTCCATTTGATGTTTGACACAGTTGTTTGTAATCAGAAAACGTGACTCAGTACACCAAAATGTTTATCTCATTTTGTATTCTGAAGGCATACACCGACATTTTGTACTAGTGTGATCCTAGTGTTGTGATTTACATTGAAAAAAATGTCAGTGCAAATTTTTTAATTGAACTAACATTTAGTGCCAGTGTGAATTGTTAAAATGTCAGTGCATTTCTTTGATATACACTTTTTGGTGTATCGTAGCATGGTTGCCTAACAATATGTCCCATATCAAATTCCATGCATTTAGCTGATATCAAACAATGTCACGTTTACCTTCTCTCAGGGGCAGGGGGGGCATGCCTAGGCAAGTGCCCCAATTCCAGCGAAGTAGGATTGAGGTACCAATCGGCGATGGTAGTGAATGATTTGCCCCCCCCCCCCCCAGATTTTTCGAAGCTTCCAGATCTGTCCGGCCGGCAGCAGGTCGAAGAAGAAGGTGCAATTCGCCGAAGAAGAAAACGTACGACGTCGTTTTATAAAATGATTAAAAAAAATCTTTTGGGCTTTGACCTAGCCCAACATTCCAGAAGCCCATTTGCCAAAATAATTATGGAGTACAAAAAAAATACGGAGTACAAAAAAAATACGGAGTACAAAAAAATACGGAGTACAAATGTAACGCCCCAAAATATACCCTAGAATTATTAATGAATAAATAATCAATTAATCAAATTTGTTTTGATTAAAATAAATTATTGTTGGGCTTTGGGCCGATACGAAATTTGTTTTGACATCTAATATCTAAATCTGGATAAGTCTCATAGAGATAAATCCAATATGTGGACTATTTGTGTTGTCTTGATTGGGAACCTGAGTACAGACCCAAAACAAGAGTAAATAAAGAATTTGTTTAGAATGTAAATATTGAAATGATTTGTTGAAATAAATCATGAGAATAATTGATATGAATTAAATGAGAGAACCTTTTGTGAGAAAGGTCAATTAAACCAATTTTTACTCTGTTAAAGTCAAACACCCAAAAATGTGGTGTCGGAAAAAGTATAACGAATGAATATAAAAATTATATCGTTGGATAGAGTTCGACTGTCTGATCGCAACGGTGCAAACGGATTTCAAACATGTCCTCTTTCCCTTCATCAACTCCTATATAAGGAGTACTCAAAACCTTCAAACATGCATCATTTTTTCTCAAAATTAGCCCATATAAATCCTGAGAGTGAGGAGAGTGGTGTGGTGTTGTTGATTGTTGTTGAAGTCGCCGGAGCTAGCCACAAACCTCGCCGGAAGTTTCGCCGGAAAATTTCCAAAACCTTCAATAAGCTTCGAGGTAAGCCCGTAGATATATCTAATGACTAGAATGTTCGTATAGATTGTTTCTACGTTCATAAACGGTCGTTTGGTTGAGTTTTGTGTTTGACATGCTTGAAGAACCAAGAATCATAAACCATGAAATTGATGTTAAAACTATGAATTAATGATTCTAAAATGATCTATGAACCTTGGAGAACATCTCTATATAGTTTCGTTGAAGTTCGATAACTAAAAACGGTATTTCCGAAATTGGACCCGAACGAAGAAGAAGATGAACAGTGGCTGAAACACCACTGTCTGGATCGATCCAGGGGCTTGGATCGATCCCCTGGGAGTGATTTTTCATAGTTTGGATCGATCCAAAGGGCTGGATCGATCCCCCGAAGTTCTGATCCGAAAATTTGTCTAAAATTGCTATTTTTGAGCTCTAAAATCCTATTTTTGATACCAATGGATTATGACCATTATAAAAATGATTTACCATAATAAAAATGATGTTTTTAACAACTAAAAAATGTTATGTGTTGCATGACGGTAAGTTCGGGTGTTAACACTCGAAGATAGGCCGCTATTTATTATCATTTGTTGTGTTAATTGATGATTATGATAAATGAATATTATGGATGATTATGAGTATTGAACCTACTGATTAAAATAAGTATTTATGATTGAATCATGAATAAAATGAATACATTTATAATTATGAAATGGTTTGTAGTGTTAAGGCTATCTAGAAGACCTCTAGAATAGATCTCATATTAGTGTGGATTTGTGAAACATGAATATTCGATGAGTTAGATAAAAATGTATAAACAGGATTCGTAGACTAAGCTAGTCACTCGTTTGGAAATACTTCGACTCAATGATGATTAATTATTGTCTTATTGTTGCCTTAAACTAATTATAGTTTAAGCGTCTGAGTATTGATTGCCTTAAACTAATTAAAGTTTAAGCGTCGGAGAACTGTTGCCTATTTGATTAATATCAAATTCGCAGACTCTTTACAAACGGAATAACTAATTATAGTTTAAGCGTCTGAGAATGAAATTATGATCTGGCCTTAGACTAAGAATAGCTAAGAGCGTTGTTATGATCTGGCCTTAGACTAAGAATAGCTAAGAGCGTTGTTATGATCTGGCCTTAGATTAAGAATAATTTAAGAGCACTATTGGATTAATATCTGAATTAAATAAAATGTGTTGATATGAACTGAATAATACCAAAACTGTGAATGTCTGAAATGAACATTGTGTGCATGATATCAAATGATTTGATTATGAATTTAGATTCAGTTTATATGGATGTTCGACGCATTAGATATGCTTACTCAGCTTTACCGCTGAGCGTGTAGTTTTTTTTATTTGCTACACGCAGGTACAACAGATGGGGCGAGATTGTCGGGATGGATGTGACAAGTTTGAAATGATTTATGATATGTCAAAATTAAATTCGCTTCCGCAATATTGTTGAATACTCCGTACTGTATATGTTATGAAAAATTATTGGGATTAATAAAGTGTGTTTGAAAAGTTTTAAATTTTTACGATTACCAAGTTAATACTTTAGTCCGGAAGGAGCTGTAGACCTGGACGGATTAGGGTGTTACAACAGAAGCCCACTCAGCGGCTAATTCGGCTGCATAAGCATAACATGCGTTCCACACTTCCACCAATCCACCGTCTCCACGGACCTGATCCGCCACTACGCCCACCACCTCCGGCTCTTTAACACGGCACCAGGTATCCTGTAGGCTTTTTGTTCTAAAATGTTTTTAAAGTTTTAATTATTGTGGTACTCATGCTAAATATTTGTTGACTAATTTTTAGTTGTTTTCCAAAGCTTTGTTTGCTAATCCGTATTTGGTGATGATTATGGGATGCTTTTTACTACAAAGTATTTAAGCATCAAATTATGATACTTGATGCTTATTACTATAAAACTAATTTGTTATGTGTTAAATTGAAATTAGGGATTAATTTTTAAAAATCAAGACTTTGAAAAAATTTAAATTAGCGTATGCAATAGTAAATTAAATAATACTCTATCTGTCCCAGAATAATCTTCCTTCTTCACTATTCCGAAATCACGGAAATTTTTGTTTATTTGTGGGGTTTTATTGATTATTTCATAAAATAAAATATTCTTGTAACCACTCATTTTGTAAAAGATTTGATGTACTCCGTAGTTTTTGAATATGTAAGTTAGATTTTTATTTATATATCAATTTTTAAATAAGATGAATTGATTTTTTTAAAAATCTTACTTCGTTTTATGAACTATCATTTTTGGTTATTTTTGGCATAATTCGAATAACATTTGCTTGTTATTTCATTTAAAAAAAATCCGACACTATCCTCCAACGAACCCCGTAGTGTATTATTGTGTCCCCCTCAAAGGTCCGCCCCTAGCTCCGCCACTTCCTTCTCTCCCATGTCTCTTCTCAACTCTTTCCTAGGAGTGTAAACGAACATTAATCAGATCGGATGTGCCTTTACCAAATCCGTATCCGTTTATTTTTGTCGAATATCGAATTCGGATACGGATCTTGATGGATACTAAAAATCAAAACCGGATCCGCATCCGTCGGATATCGATCGGATATCGGATATGTCCATATCCGTTTCTAATTTTTAAAATCAAACTAAACAATACTTTAATTTTAAATTAGATTAAACTCAAACTATTATTAAATCAACTATAATTTGGTATGGGATAATTATTTTCTTTGTTTTCATGATTTATGATATTGTACGACAACTTCATATGATAAAACGATATACACAACACACATATACACATATTTTTATATGTCTGTACATATTTTTATGTGTCTACACATTTATTTTGTATATAAAATTTTCTTATATTTTGAAATATCAATAGAGAAACAAAATATAAACATAAAAAATTAGGAAAAACTATATATAACGGATCAAATATTTGGATAAATGGTTATTTAAACAGATGCGGATTTTAAACGGATCGGAAATACAATTACCACATCCGTATCCGTTTAGTAATCGGATATCCTTAATCGGATACGAATAATATCCGTTTAAAACGGATACATATATTTCCTCTTTAAACGGATTCGGATGAGGACGCTAATCGGATTTTCGGCTATCCGTTGACAGTCCTACTCTTTCCTTTCCGTTTTTTGTGTCATTTTTCTATGTTTCTTCTTCTTCTTTTTTCACCCAAAGACCAAAGAATGTGAGTTTTTTTTAAATTGTTTTTGAAATAATACATAATTTTTTCTATATATTAATTTGACATTATAAATAATTCGCATTCTATAGTAAAACATTATCCAATATTTAAATTTGAGTTCTTAATTGTTCACCAAACAGTTGTGACTGAAATATAATTTCATTTATGTTTTCTCTAAACATTTTTGTTAGATTTCAAAACTATATCATTTCTCTTAGATTTTAAAATTCATATTTCTATCATATCTCCAAAACTCACCAAACGAGCATTAAATGTATTATGATAAAAGAGATTTAGGTGCCTCGAAATATTATTTTTATAAGTTCAAGGAAGGGATTGAAGTACAATAGATTTAGAAAATGAGACCCTTTAATTTTAGAGCAATGCTAGGGGTATACCAAAAGTGTACCCCATTTGTCCCTCACCCCCTTCTCCACCACCCATTTTTATCTACTTTTTATTTATTTAATTTTTTTAAAAGTTTTTACCCATTTATGTGGTGGAGGAGGGGGTGGGGGACAAATGGGGTACACCAAAGGTGTATCCCTAGCATTTTCTTTCAGATATCACATACATAAAACAATGTTTTTTGTATGTGAAATCTATAAAGATAATGATGTCAATAATGAAATCAAGTTTGAGATCATTAGGATTAAAACTTGTTCTTTCAACTTATTCTTATAATTTATTCTAAATATCAAACTAGACTAGTTTAAAAATAATTTTAAATATAGCTATAATTAAATTAAATTAGATCAAATAATTTTAAATATAACTATAATCAAATCAGAAAATCAAATTTGGAGAGAAACTAGCACGGAGTGACTCATCATGGTTCATGAGTGCGTTATAGGGCAAAAGCAAACGAAACTTTTGTTCGGGGAACGGTGATTGGTTTGTCGGCATGTGATAAGTGGAAAACGACGCAGAAGAAATCCCGTGATTGGCTACAAAATCCAAATGCATCGTGCCCAAAACCCACCGACTCTACAAATCCGCAGCGCCCCGCTGCCGACGCCTCGTCCGGCCACGCCGCCATTTTTACAGTGGCTTTTCTTGCCTCAAGCTTTATTTGATCATGTGATGATCACGCACTGCTTGCGCGCTCTTCTTGTAAGTGTCTTCGTCTCTCTCGATCCCCAATTCGTTTTGTGCTTTTGTTTGCCGGTGTTTTCGTGGGCCAATCTATTGATCATTTGGTATATAATGCTGTGGGGAATTATTAAATCTGAGCTGCCATTGGGTTGATGTTGAATTCGCTTTCAGAGGTTGATGATTCTTGATGTTTTTTTCCCTTTTCCAGGAAATCATAACGTGGTGAATCTGAATTCTGGAGCAGTTGTGGACATGGGAGTATCAGGGAAATGGATTAGGTCACTAATCGGTTTTAAAAGACCCGAGAAGTCGATTTGCTATGAAATCGATGCATATGTGAGTTCAACTTTTGTTTCGTAGTTCTTTAAGGCTCGTTTGAATGACAATTACGAATTGTGATTTTTGAGTTTGCTTAGAAGTCATTGAGATTACAAAAATCGCCTGTGTGAGATTACAAATCTCGTGAATGTCGTAATTACATATCACATGATTTCAATTCACTTCACACCAATGACTCAAAAAACTATAGTTGTTTTAGTCAAAGTTACAACTCAACCACAATTTATGATAATCATGGCCAAACAAACAACATAATTTAACTTGAAATCATAATCTGCTATCAAATAAGGGCGCTACTTAGAGCTGGCAAATCGGTCGGTTAGGTCGGGTTCGGGTTCGGTCACTTTTAGTTCGGTTCGGGTCAATTCGTGTTCGGGTTGAGAACTGCATGTTCATGACCCAGTGTCATCGGGTTCGGGTCAACCCAACAGGTTATGACTATGGTTTTATAAATTTTTAAATTCACATTAACACTTACATTTTCTTTTAAATAAATTTAAAATATCAAAAAATATGTATTAAATTTATTAGATTATTCTATTTTAAATCTTGAAAAAAAAATTAGACATATAAATCAATATAAGAAATTTAAAAAATGCTTAAATTTTCGAAAGAAGTAAGATAATTATGCAATATCATTAAAATTTTGTCTGTAAAAATATAAATTTAAACATAAAAAACGAGTACTAAAGTGTATTTTTTTTTTTTGAAAGTAGTACTAAAGTGTATGATTTTGAAAAACTATTACTTTAGCGGGTCGGTCAGGTCGGGTTCGGGTTCGGTCGGGTTTGACCCATTTTTAGCGGGTCATTTCGGGTTCGGTCAACTTTGGGTTCGGTCATCAAAACCTTTGTTCAAAACCCAGTGTTTTCGGGTCGGGTTTCGGGTCAAAAACAGGTCGGGTCATTTTTTGCCAGGTCTAGCGCTACTCAAGTAGGCCTTCAGTGTTCCGAAACCATAGTAACTGAAATTCCATGATTAATACAGAAAACAGGGTGCACTGGGAAGTCTAGGCATAGGAGAAAGCATTCTATTGATATAGATAACAACTGCAATGAGCTGAGCCATAATGAAGATAATGCTTCTACGTCACTTGAAGATGCTAATATTGCTTCAGTTCAAATTGCTGCCTTTTCACCTTCAACTTCACATCAAAACCAGGATAAACCTCAAGTTCATCCGAATATTAGAGAAGAAATGGCAGCCATCTGCATCCAAACAGCTTTTAGAGGCTTTCTGGTACTCAATTGTATATATTAGCTCTTTAGTTAAAAATAACTCTATCTTTACAATCTTTTCAGGATAATTTTTTTTCTTGTTAATTGGACATACATTCTCTGATATATGAAATGTCATGCTTTCAAATAATTGATTTGCTTTTGAATTTGAGTCATATTTAAACGTGGTAATATCCAGGCAAGGCGAGCTCGGCGGGCTTTGAAAGGATTGGTGAGACTTCAAGCCCTTGTGAGAGGCCATGCTGTGAGAAAACAAGCTGCCATCACTCTCCATTGTATGCAATCACTAGTTAGAGTTCAGGCACGTGTACGGGCACGGCGTGTTCGTGTGGCCTTAGAAGGTCAAGATGCACCCAAGAAGTTTCTGCAAGAAGAGCTAGAACAACGAGAGGCTCGTGTTCGCGAAATAGAAGTAATTTCTTATGCTCTCCACTTTGAATATCTCTAGATTGATTAATGCTGCAAATGTGATAGTGTGGATAACTCTTTGGAATTCCTTGATCTTATTAGCATAACTTTGTGAATGGATTCGGTAGAAATTGTCATCAAACTAACTTATCATGGAGAAAAGTCTGTTTAACATGGGTATCACCTTCTCATGTCTTTAAATCTCCAATCACAGGAAGGTTGGTGCCACAGTATAGGATCTGTGGAAGAAATTCAAGCCAAGTTGTTAAAGAGGCAAGAGGCAGCAGCAAAGCGGGAGAGGACAATGGCATATGCTTTGGCTCATCAGGTCATCTTTTCATACCATTCTTACTAAGTTACTAAATATCTTATCATGAATTAAACTATGTATGCTACAAATGCTATATATCCAAAATTTGTTTTTTTTTACAACAAAATTGGGCAGCTTTCATGCAAACTTAAAAGCAGTTTTAATTTACTACAAAGGAGTTCATAGTCTGAACTTGTTGAAAGCATTTCTTAACTTGCGTATCAAACATTTATCTTTCCCCTAGACAATAAAAATCCTTCCCTTGGCTGAAAAGAACAAATGCAACTGGTCAAGAAGGTATTGTCCTGTTTGCCTTTGCATTATGTACTAAGGCTCTGTTCCGTTCGCGTAATCTGATTGGATCTTATCAAATTTTTTGAAGATCTGGTGTGATATGATTAAAATTGTTTCTGATGTGATCTTATATAATTGGATCTCATCTAGATTTGATCTGAGATCTCATCCGGTCTGATCTGATTTTAATAAGACTAAGTAATAAGTTGAAAAATAAGGTGAACAGAACGGAACCTAAATGATAAAGAGAAAGAGCATACGGATTACAAGGGGAAACCCAGAATGAGCCTATCTTTTGTGCTATCAAATTCCAAATATTGATTAATGTGTCATGATATAATTGTCATTTTAGTTGTGTCCATTTATCTTAATCATCACCATTACTACAGTGGCAGGCAGGGCCTAAGCAGCAGCATTCTGTCTATGAACGGGAGACTAGTAACTGGAGCTTGAATTGGTGGGAAAGATGGATGGCAGTACAGCCCTGGGAAAATCGCATTTTAGACATCAATCAGAGAGATGGAGCAATGATACGCGACAACAACCCAATTAATGGCACTAAGAACCAGTTGAAAAGATATGTTGGGATAGTCAAACCGAATTCTAATGAGAGAAGGGGTCCATCAACCTATTCAAGCATTAAGAAGTCACTCGAGACCGGTTCAAGATCAAAGAGCAACCCTAAAGAGAGATTCACCCCTTCAAATATAGACCAAGGAAATAATAAGAGATTGTCTCTTCCTATTACCCGTTAGTTAATCTGTCTCCCTGATTCTTTTGGACTTTTTTTTTGGAAATTGATTCTTTTCAACTTAGTCTCAAATGTTTTTGTTTTTTTAGGTATTTCCTAGGGTAACACCCTTTGGTTTGTGCTATTTCTCTATATGATTCTTTGTTATGCACACTTCTTACAATAACTCTAAGGTAGGCTAAAAATACTGTGTAAGCCTCATTGTGGAAACTTGAGATAGGCTAAAACATCCTGCAACGGTGAGTTGATGGCTCGACTAAATGCCAATATTTGCTAAAGAAATCATGTAATGAGATCATGACATGAAAACATCATACCTTTTCACGGTTCAAATTTCTAGTTAAGTCGTGTATCTTCGTCTACCTCAAGGTTATTTTAACAAACATGTTTATAAGAGTTGATAAATAACTCAAAACTAAGGGCTACCCCAGAAGACTCCCCACTGTTTCAAATTTACTCTGGGTTGGACTTGGGTTTAAGACTTTTCACACTTGCTCTTTTCTTTTACTTTCGGGGATTCTTATTTCAATCTTTTATTTGTCCTCAACAGGGATAAATCATGAAAATCAAAGAATGATATGGGGGCAGTCGAGCTAACATCCAAAGGACATACAGTGCAGAGAAGCACATTGATGAAAATTTCAAATGGAATGGAAATGATTCAATAGCCACAGAGCATTGGTTTTCCAAGATTAGTATCTTCCTTCATTATTTTAATGTGTCAATCTCCCATTCTAATGGGTCATTTATTTATTATGGAAATACAAAGGAACCTAAGCAATCACCAGGTATCAAAGGAGAAGGGTTGATTGGCTTGAGAAGTTTTTTTTTCATCCAGTGTGGCAGGGTTTTTTTGATCATCAGTTGTTATATCAGATAGCTTAGGTTTCGGTTCAAGGTCCAACCTGAACAAATTCTTGAAGCCAGAAACAGTTGAGACTTGAGAGTAAACTGGTTTATTAATTAAAGTTCTGAGATTCATTGGAGGCACTGAGGCAGAATGTTGAGTTTGGCCTGAACCAGTCCGTTTAAACCCAAACCGAATGTCCAAAACTGAACCATACAGTTATAGTTTTGTAAAGTTATCCCACACAGTATTAAATTTGAAGAAAGCCAAACCAAGACAAATCATTAAACACAATAAAACCAAACCTATGAGGTAACATTACTGAAGCCAAAGTAGAGTGTTCTCTGATGAAATGCATTGACAGCATGGTCCACTTGAAAGTGGCCTAACGGAGATTTCAAGCGTACGCCATAACCAATGCCAACTCCACTCCCCGGCTTGCCATGTCTTAAAGAAGGATTACCTAATAACATTTAAGTAATAACAACAAAATATCAGCTTGAGTTTCTCTGTTGAGAGTTTGTCCATTTATGAACAGATCCCCTTTTAATTTATTGAAATCCCATCTCAGATGAATACAACCAACTCAACTATCAACCAAGGATGTGTAGCGACACTAACCGGGCACATGACGACCAGAGCCCAAGTCAGATCCGTAGTCCAAGAAAACCACACCGTCTAGCATCTGCCCCTGCAAATTCAAAAAAGGAAAAATTGAATTTCCATAGTAAGAAGAGGGTTGGGCATGACATTTCAATTTTTTTCCCCAAGCAAATTTGGACGCATCCATATAAGCTTCAGAGTAAGCATTGATTCTGTCAATGAAAAATCCACCGAATATCGAATAATATTTTCAATCTAAAAGAACACGTACCAAAGAAAATGTCACTTCACTCTTAGAAACCAGGCATAATCTTCCGGCTCCAATAGCTCCTTCACCATAACCTCGCACGCTGTTAATCCCTCCAATAGCAAAAGCTTGGTAAGGAGCTATATTCCCCACAATAGAACCGCCTGTAAGTCTGTCAAATGACGGCAGTCATAGAATGCAAAGAGGCATTATGAACAAATACAATGCTAAGAACTGAACCCACAGATTGTTAGAGACTTTGCAGTTGTGCACCCACCTTGTCGTGAAAAATGCCGGCCCAAGTTTCACTCCTTTTGATGCAACGAACTTGAAACGGTTGAAATTTGGCCACTGAGAACGAATGGGGATCCCTTGCTCTATTTGCAGGCTAAACTGGAAAAAGAAAAGGGACACTAAGGAAAATTTATGCAGTGGTGAACGCATATTATCTTTTTCTTGAATAAAAATCATTCTTAAACAGCTAAGAGACTATTCATTTTAGTGTACAACAACAACAACCCAGTTAAATCCCACAAGAGTAGGGTCTGAGGAGGGTGTGTGTACGCAGACCTTACCCCTACTCGAAAGTAGAGAGGCTATCATGCTATCATGAATGCCACCATTTTAGTGTAAAGATTGGATAATCACTTTACTTCAGTTAAACTTTTATCAGTTGCCCTTGCAAATCTGGATTCTTCTTTCAGTACTACCATGCTATCATGAATGCCACCACTGCAAACATGGGTTGAGAGAATATGAAGCTAAATAATCAAGGAGACTCAGAACTACAGAGAACTTTGGATACCTAAATGTCACTGGAAACCCGTGAAAATCTCTGTTTATTGATCGACCACCATCATTTACTGGTCGAACATGCTGTAAACTATGTTAGATTTTTCTTATACAGCCCCACATATGTGTACTTAAAAGCGAAATCATGCATAGATAGTCACACACTCACCTCAAACCTGATACTAGTTTTGCTGCTCCCAAAGGAACTTGCGGGCTCGCTCAAATCAAAACCAGCAGATAAATGACATAAGTTCACTCCGCCACTTTCTGAGCGAGAGAAGTTGTTAACAGGGATTCCATGAATGCCAATCTCCGGAGAGACTGAATGCTGATTGATCAATAAAGTTCAGAGTAGATTCCAAAAGATGCTGAAGTACTTTATTATGCATATTGCAGCCAAGAATTACTGTCATAATCTTGACACTGACAAACAAGACCTATTTGTGTAGTCTATTCTTTTTTGTTTTTTGAATTTATTAATTCCAATTTCCAGGGCAGGGATTATTCTTTCATGAGACTCGAGAGCAATTTGAGGGGCTGATTCAATTGCATATCAATCAATAATTGAAACCAAACAGGCTTTGCCATCTCTGCTTTTTTCCACAAAAAAAAGGATAGCGAAAAGCTTCAAACCTGCACTATAAGAGATGGTTGAGAAAGCCATTCGGATCTCGGCTTCCTGTAAGCTATTGTTATATTAGAATCATAGAGCCCTTTATCCCACAGAACATCAAGCTTCTCACTCTTGCCGAATAAGTTTGGGTGTTTTATACAAAGGCTACACAAAAGAAGCAGCCATTTTGAATGTAAAATATACTCCTATGTAGTTAAAGTAAAATTTAAAAAAAATAAATCACACACAGACACAATAAATGTATAGTTAAAATGGATTTTACACAAGTATACCTTCCTATAACTAGTTCCAGTGGACTCCCAGAATTCCTGTTGTAAAGAACAAGAACAATAAAAATGCAATTGGATCTCGTAATGAAGAAACATGCCAAACTCAGAAATAGTATTTTTGCCCTACGCACCTGAAAGAATGAAGCATTGGACCAGCACATAGTTTGTGTGTGAAATCCACATTCACATCAATCTTGGCTGTGCCCACAATGCAAAACCCGCACATAATAATAATAATAGGCAAAAATCTTTTGACATTGAACATCAATTTTACCAACGAAGTATTGTAGATGCCCGAGTCATTTTAATGTCAAAATAACTAATGTCATAAGATTCATTGTGATAATAATAACAATAATAGTAGTAATAATAATAATTTAAATACAACATTAAAATAATAGACCATTAATAAAGATATAAGGAGTATGTTGAATTAATGAATGGAGTAATAGATTAGCATGGAAGAGAAGAAAAATGGACGGACCTTTGCCAGCGTGAATGCTCTTCTGAGCTCCCATAACAGTTACCCACTGATAATTTTCACCATTCAAAAACTGGGTTCACTCGATCTAAATCGAGCAGTTTGGCAAATCCTGAAGACTGAGTGAGTAACATGCTAAAAAGAGAACCGGGAAAATCTGGGTATGGAATCGCCAATGCTTCAAGCTATCTCTTCCTTTGCGGCCCGGATTGGCTTTTTGCTTTTGATTACCTCAGCCTTGGGCTATTTGTGTAGTGAGGAATTGACGGCGTTTGGTTCTCTCAACGTTAATCCCTATTGTTCATAACAAATTTCTATTGTGGGATTTTCTAGAGTACTTTTGCAAAAGGAGGGGCATGATGCCCCTCAACTCAATTGATGCCATATGGAGGGCTAGTTACGTGCATTAAAAAATACTCCCTCCGTTCCCCTAAGATGTTCTCATTTTAATTTTTGGTGGTTTTTAATAAAAGTTGAAAGAAGATGAAAGTTTACCATAACACCCTTAATAAGAAATGGGTGGAGTGTATTAAATGAGGTGTAATAAATAAAGTAAGTGAGGGTAGTTGTGGTATTTTAATTGTTAAAAAATGAAATGAGAAGATCTATTGTGGACAAAGAAAAAGGGCTATTGAGAAGATCTATGAGAGACGGAGAGAGTAATTTCATATCACTTCAACTTTGAGAAAATACAAAATGGCCCAGCCTCACTCTTAATTAATTGATTGTAAAATCATTAATGGTATGTTTGAGAACATGGATTTGGATTTTAAATCTGGATTTGACTCAAATTCCATGTCTGGGAAACTTAAAAATTTTGAATTTGGATTTGATTCAAATTTTTATCACTATTCATAACAAAGCTTAATTTGAAATCCATGCACCTCCCCATGTCATTTGAAATTCAAGATTTCAAATTTTGGTATTGAAATGCATGAATTGAAATGAAATGCTAGTTGTCAAACACTACCTAATGTTAATTTACTTCTTTTTATGGAGTATTAATTTTTTTGAGTACTATGATTTTTTTAATATTTTTTAGAAACAATTACATGAATACTTCAAAAAAATTGTGATTGTACATTAATACTCCAAAATTTAACCAATGAATCCCAAAAATTCTACTAAATTTTTTCCTGAGTATTTGTCTACTTTTTATACAAAAACTAGTAAGCTTTGACCATAATTAAAAGAGTATTAGATATTGATACAAAAATAATTTTATCAGATTTATTTTATAATCTATTTTCATGATATAATTTTATCTTATTAATATTTCATATATATTTTATTTAATTTTAGGTGAAAAGTTTAAAATAGTTGGCTGCAAAAAGGTAGAACTAAACAAATACTCAGGGACAGTAGTACATATTTACATTTTTATCTAGCTGCTACCAACTGAACTAAATACGTGATATTTAAAATGTTAATTAGACAATTAATAAGTTTGAGTTGGCAACTAAATACACATGAAATATTACATCTGTCCTTAAGTATTTGTTTTCAATTAACATTTAAAATCTCATGTACGTAGTATTTAGCTGGGTTTGTAGTCACCAGTTAACATTGTAACACGTAGAATTCTCAGGACCTGTAGTGTAATTTATTGAATTTTGGATTACTAACGTACACTTATGAATTTTTTGGATTATTCATGTAAATATTTTTAAGAAAATTTACTCGCTCCGTCCATTTTTATTTTCTCATTTTGAAAAGCGTGCAAAATCTGATCTTTTTTAAAATTATTTTATTCGCAAATTGTTATATAAAAAGTAACATTGTTCAAAACTACATCAAAAATTTAACAAAATAAGATGTGACAAGAATATTTTATCTTATCAAACGATAAATGAAAATATTCAAACAAATATTTCGTTCATTCCAGTGTATTTGTCTACTTTGACTTTTTGGAGTCAAACATGATGAACTTTGAGATTTATATAAACAAAAATTAAATGTATATTTGTTAGGGAACCAATTCAACCAAAAGGTCAAGTTTGTGGTTGTGGCCCATAAATAATTTTATAAACTCTAACACGCCCCTCGCGTACAGGCATGACTTTTTCTAGTCTTGCATGTGAAACTTTAATTTTAAAAAAAATTGGGTAGCAGTGAGTTTCAAACTCGTGACCTCTTAGTCATTAAAGTTTTGATACGATGTCAGGGAATCAATTTAACCAAAAGCTTAAGTTTGTGGTTGTGGCGTAGGAATGATTTTTATATATATTCTAATAATATTAGTATAAAAATGATTTTTCTTAGATTTATTTTAATGAGAATTTTTAAAATTTTACTTTATTGTACTAATATACAATACAAATTGAGTTAACAATGTCTTGTCTTGTTCCTTTTGGAATAACTCGCAAAATTTGACGAAAATCTCCACCAAAGACAATTGTTTTTCCTCCGAAAGTTTGTTATTCACTCATTGGATTAGAAAAGCATAAAATATCGCACATACTTCTATCCAAAGCTTCAAAGCAGTACTTGTATGTCATAGGGGCTTCATCCCAAATAATTAATTTGGCTTTCACCAAGAGTTGTGCTAGTGAAGAGCCTTCCTTTATGTTGCAAGTAGAGTTTTCATCTGGAATCAATGGGATTTTAAAACGCGAGTGAGCCGTTCTACCACCTGGCAACAGTAACAATGTTATTCCACTTGGCGCAACATTCAGTACTATATCACCTAGACATCGTATTGCAGCTGATAATGTTCTGTAACGCCCCAAAATATACCCTAAAATTTATTGAATAAATATTCAATTAAACAAAATTTGTTTTGATTAAATTAAATTGTTGTTGGGCTTTGGGCTGAAATAAAATATATATTGATATCCAATAAACATAATTGGGATAAATCTCATAAAGATAAATCCAACATGTTGATTTATTGTGTGATCTTGATTGGGAATCTGAGTAAAGACCCAAATTAAGAATAAATGAAGAAATTGTTTATAATGTGAACTTTGAAATGATTTATTGAAATAAATCATGGAAATAAATAATATGAATTAAATGTGAGAACCTTTTTGAATAAAGCTCAATTAAACCAATTTTGACTCTGTCAAAGTCAACCACCCAAAAATATGATGTCGTAAAAAGTATAACGAATAAATATAAAAATTATATCGTTAGATAGAGTTTAACTGTCTGATCGCAACGGTCCAATCGGATTTCAATTCGGAGAAAGTTGGACCAAAAAGTGTTTCCCGACTGGGACCAAATTAGTCCCAATCAGGGACTTGCGTTTGGAATAGGAGAAATATCGCAGCCCGCTCCACTAGCCGCCCGAACAGGAAACCAGACATCACCCTTGGCAGCATCCTTCACCATTTTCCTATATAAGTACCATCTCCATTCCTTCAATTCCTCACCATTTCTTACAAACTTTCTGTCTATTCTGTTGCTAGGAGTGAGGAGAACGCAGTGGTGCTGTCGTATTGGTGTGAGGTCACCGGAGATAGCTACAATTCTCGCCGGAAGTTTTGCCGGAAAATCTTCAAACCCTCCATTAAGCTTCGAGGTAAGCCTGTAGATATATCTAGTGATTAGAATGTTCGTATAGATCGTTTTTACGTTCATAAACGGTCGTTTGGTTGAGTTTTATGTTTGACATGTTTGAAGAACCAAGAATCATAAACCAAGAAATTGTTGTTAAAACTACAAATTAATGACTCTAAAATGATCTGTGAACATTGGGGAACATTCCTATATAATTTAATTGAAGTTTGGTAATTAAAAATGATAATGTTAAAAATTGAACAGAGGAAG